AGGCAGGCCAGGCACAAGGGACAGGGATGTCATCTTCTGCTCTCCTCCCTTCCTCACTCCTCCAGATCCCAACCCCACCACTTGTACCTCCCGGTACCACTCCACCTGAAGGCCACCTCCCTCCCTTCCCTACTTCCTCTACCTCCTCCACTCTCCAACTTCTCTTCCTCCTCCCTTCCCTGCCTCCTTCTCTTCTCAGCCCTCCTCTCTCTTTCCACCCCCTCTCCCTTCACCCTTTCCCCTCCCTCCTCCCCCACCTATTCTTCAATCCCAACTCTTCCCCTGCCCTGGCCAGAGTGAATTTGGGAAGCTTCACTTAGCTATTATGAAAATTGCTCTCCTCTTCCTAGTTTTAAAGGGAACCTTTCATGAGGAAGGAACCTCAAAGACAGCCTAAATAACTCTCAAATATTAGGTCTTTTTCAAAGGAATCATTTTTAACATATGAAAAAATTCATCCACACCATGGACAAGTCAATGTTATTCCCATTCTGCAGCAGAGCAAAGAAAAGAGAAGGCGCTCCTGGGTCCAGGACTGCAAATGCCTTCAGCCTCCCTCCCTCTCCAGCCAGTTACCTAGGCCTGGGCTGTGCTGGATGACAGCCAGGCAGGACATCCCCAACCCCTGTGGTCGCTTCGCTGCTCTTCACCATGCCCACCTGTTAGACTTCATGGGCTCTACACACTGCCTATGGTTTTCGGAGTACTCTTCCTAAAACCCAAGGTTTTTGTTGTATTTCATTTTGGCGGTACTGGGGTTTGAACTTCCAGGACCCTGTGCTTGCTAGGCAGGTGTTCTGCCAGTGGCCCAAACCCAGTTTTAAATCGTGTGGCTTCTCTAACTCAACAACCTGCAACTGCTCCTCATTGCTTTGCAAATTAAGAACCCTGTCCTTTAGATTATCACACATGGGACCCTGATCCGCAGCACACGTGAGCACCCGAACACGGGACTGCTTCAAGCTACTCACGTGTGGGGACTGTGCCATGCAGCCATAGAAAGGCATGAGAGTGTTCAGTGACCACAGAGTGATTACAAAGGAAATTAGGGTGCTGGGGTAGTGCTCAGTGGTAAATTATGAGGCTCCCCAGCATCCCCTCCAAAAAACAAGAAAAGAAAAGAGAGAGAGAAACAGAGGAAGGAAGGAAGGAAGGAAGGAAGAAAAAGAAGGCAGGGCATGCGGCTCACAGTTGAGGCATGGTTAGTTTGGGCAAGACCCTGGGCTCAATCCTCAGCACTGGAAAAAAGAAAGTTTGGGTACATTTATCAGCATGGTCCCTCCCTCTCAAAGATGCATAGCCGGCTGGCTTGCATCTGCAGGCACCACGGGGCTCGGATTCAACAGATCGAAAATACTTAAAACAGGAGTTTTGAGCCCCTGCACTGAAAAAGCAAGTGCCAAGAGCAAAACTGCGTGTGTAGTGAACACGTAGACTTGCTTCGTTAGTTCCCAAGTACAGTGCAACAACTATTCACACAGCATTGACACGGCATCAAGGATTACAAGTCTCTAGAGGCGATTTAAAGCACAGATGAGGATTTCATGGGTGTGTGCAAATCCTACGCTATTTTATAAAATGGACTTGAGATTTTGGTACCTGAGCAGGGGTCCTGGAACCCCAGCAACTGTACTTTCAAAATGAGAAGCAAATGAACACGAGAACAGCCCAGGGGGTGAGCTAAGGAGAAATAAGTTGGGATGAGGGATAAGAAAGCAGAGATAAGTGAAAATTTAAATTTAAAGATGGACATTCTTAAAAAAAAATTCCAAAGGAAAAAGTTTATTACAACAAAACAAAACGAGTGGTGGCCACCTGTAGTTTGCACCTGTGGTCTGTGTTCTCCAGATTATTCCAACTAATGCACTCATTCAGACTTACGGGACATCTTTGGCTACCAGCCTCTGAGCCAGGCACTGGGGACAGCAAGGTGAAAAAGGCACAGTATCCCTACCTGTGAAGGGCAGCACAGGGTCCAGCAGAAGGGAGCGCTGCCTTTCCTGAGAGTCTAAGGTGGTAGTGGTGGTTTGACCACAGAGAGGTGGCAGAAAGACACCAACCAGGTGACAGACATTGTCTATGAGGAAGGTGACTGTGCTTTGGGGTGCTAGGAGGTGTCCCCAGGAGATGGACAGAACTGGCCACCAACTGACCTTAACAGGCTTGGCTTTTGGGGATGGAGCAGACTCTCAGTCCCCAAATTCTGCTTGGTGCCTAAGGGCACCAGAAGCCTGGGGCCCTGGCCCTAGGAATCTCCCCTGAATGTGAACACTGCAGGTCCCCATCTCCTCCCCAGGGCACACAGTGGGTTGAGAATCCTTGGCCTCTCTCCGCAGAGCTATGGAGGCAGCTTTGACCTCTGCCCACACTCCGGTCCCGGTCCCGACTCTCTGCTCATCTCTATTGCAGGTTTACACTCCAGGCCCCTGGACCGACCCTAGCAGCAGCACACACAGAGGTGGTTCTGGTTCAGCCAGCTCGTGCATCCCCAACCCTGCTGCTCTGTAGCAACCGCCCCGAAGGCACTTGGGGACTTGAGGGGTGGGGTGGGGGGAAGCAGGCGCACTCTCCCAAGCTCTTGGCCACCACCTCACCGTGCTCCCTAGCCCCCCAGAGGCCGCCACCTGGCTGGCCCAGCGTCTCCGGTCACTGCCTCCTCTGTCACAGCCTCCATTGCAGCAGCGCTGATCCATGGTTCACAGGATCCGAGTGCCAGGCGCCTCATCCAGGGCCACACAGCCCCAGAACGGAGGAAATCACAACCCAGGCTCTGAAGAAGCCCCGCTGGCCCTAAGGGAGAAATTCCCCCACCTTGAAGTACTTGAAGGTCCTCAGAAGAAGGGAGGCTACACGACCAACCTCACAGGCTTGGTTGGACAAAGTGGAAACGCGCAGAGACGCCGTCCCCCGGCGGGCCCCGGAACCAGCATGAGTTGGACGGTCATCTAAATCACACTCCTCCCCGCAGCCTTTGTCTTCTTGTCACGGCCCCTCTCTGGCCTGTTTTCCCATGAACCCAAAGGGCCCTGGATTAGATGGTATCTGCCTAGGGCCTGACTGTTTCGGCTGCAAACGAATTGGGGGAGTATTTCTGGACCCCCTATTGCTGGGTCCAGGCCGCTCTGGCTGGGGTACCTCTGCCCCTCTGCTGGATGTCTCTGACTCTGAGCACCCATGGAGCAGGGCTTGGGACACTTCGGCTCTTCCATAATCCGCCCAATTTTGCCTCAGCATCCTTGTCTATTCTGGTTTATGTGACCTGCCTCTGGGTTAAGTAACCCCGTGGATCCCTGTCATGGATTCATTTTTGTCCCGCAGCAGATGTTGAGCATCCTGTCCTAGAGTCTGCAAAGTCCATCTCCTGCCCAGGTGGCCCGGCCACTGAGTCCCAGACGGCGCACCCAGGCCGCGCGTCCAGGAGGCATTCCGCCTGGTCACCAGGCCAGGGCCTGGCAGGGTCTCACCGATTAGGGCTCTGGTCCAGCTGCCTCAGGCCGACCCAGGGACATCGGTGCTGGGAAAGCCCTGTGCCTGAGCTTCGAAATTTCAGACCTCGGGAGTCACTTACCTTCTGGGGGAGCCTCTCCTGTCTCGCGTCAGTGTTCTGCTTTGGAAAATGGGGTGATGCTTTCCCCCACAGTGGTTGTTCCAGACATTGAGCGAGGCAGAAGCTGCGGGTCAGCGGCCTCCTTCCAGGAACACGGGCCTCACTCAGTTGGGCACCGGCCGCGAGCGAGCGGGCACCGGGCGGCGGGATGCATCTTTCCGCTATAACCCGCATCCAGTGAAGCTGGCGACGCGCGTCAAGGACCCAGTGACTCCGCTGTCGCCCACTCGAGCGGAAGTGGGTCACGGCTTGGAGAGCCGCGGTGGGGACTGAGTTGCCTTCTGTCCTTGTGCTCCAGAAGCAGGAGTCCCTCTCTTTTTACAAGCGAAGAAATAGAGACGCAGAGAGGGACCCTGCCCCCAAGACTTCCAGCCCTGGGCAGAGGCTGGACCGGAAGCTCCCACCCCCTTCCAAGGCCCAGGCCCTTGGGGCAGCCGGACAGTGGAGGTGCTAGCGCGGTGGAGACTCACTTCCACACAGAGTGACAGCCGGATAATTGCCGGCAGGGTCCTATGGGGTTGTATTTCCTTACACGCTGAGACTGAGCCCGGGAACGACAGAGTTCCATCGCACTACAGTTGGCATTGAGAGCACATTACATTAAGTGTAAATATTAAAATATGCCGCGATTTGCAACCCTGCTTTGGCATAGTTCTCATTTTTAAATTATCTGCAGAGGCCTTAAAAAAAGATCGCGAGCCGCTTGTGGTTTCTTACACACGCCTACATTCATACACGCGCGCGCGAGAGGACACACGCACACACCACGCGCGCATACACACGCACACACAGTAATGGGTCCAACGCTGTCCCAGCTGCAGGGTAATTACAGTACTTGCCCGACACGATTGGCCAGCCTGTTCCTCACCGGGGACCTGCAGCCAATGGGCGGCTGCCCAGTCCAGTCCCCACCCCCTGTAGCGGATGGCGAGGACCGCGGGAATGCATCACGAGGGGCCGGCCCCGCACGACCCCCGCCCGCGCCCCGGGCCGCCAGCTCTCGGCCGCGCCGCCGCCTGCGCGCAGGGGCCGGGTGGCGTCCCGGGCAGTGGCCACGCTCGGGGCCGCCGCAGCGCGCGCCGCTCCGCCCCTCGCCCCTCCCCCTCTCCGCCCCTCCTGAGGCCGGCCCAGGCGGCGACCAGAGCGGCGACGTGAAAGGCGAGCGAGGCGGCTGTCGGCGCGCACCCGCTCCCGCCCAGCCCAGCCCGGCGCGGAGGCCGCCGCTTGCTCCGCGGGGCCCGACGCCAGCGTTCCGGGCAAAGGCTCCAGTGCCAGCCCGCGCGTGCGCCGGGAGCTGCGCGCCACCACCCCCCGCGGGGACCCGGACCGGCCGCGCCCCGGGCGCTGGAGATCCTCAGATCGCTCAGGAGAGCCCGACGGGCCCGCGGCAACGATGCCGGACGAGCTGACGGAGCCCGGGCGCGCCACGCCAGCCCGCGCCTCCTCCTTCCTCATCGAGAACCTGCTGGCGGCCGAGGCCAAGGGCGCGGGGCGCGCAGCCCCGGGCGACTGCGGCCGTGAGGAGGAGGAGGACGACGACGAAGACCCGGAGGACGAGGATGCTGAACAGGCGCGGCGACGACGGCTGCAGCGGAGGCGACAGCTGCGCGAGGGCACCGGGCCGGGCGGGGAGGCGCGATCCCGGGTGCTGCTCGGGCCCGGCGCTCTGGGCCTAGGTCCCCGGCCGCCCCCCGGGCCTGGGCCGCCCTTCGCCCTCAGCTGCGGAGGCTCGACGCGCTGGTACCCACGGACGCACGGCGGCTATGGAGGTGGCCTCAGTCCTGACAGTAAGTGAGGGCGCCAGGAGGGGTGGGCCAGGCGCGGGGCCCTGCTTCCTCCCTGCGCATTCTCAAAATGACTTCGGGCTTGTGGCGCCTTTTCTGGGCCGCACTCCCCCTTTGGTGTAGCGAGATCTGGGTGGTGAAAGGTCCCCACGGAGCCCCGGTTGGTGGGGTTTAGAGGCCCACTCTCTGGCACAGAGGTCGAAGATGGCTTCATTGGTCGTGGGCTCTTCTGTTCTAAGGAGGTGGAGAGGGAGCTGGGAACAGGGGACCACAGGAAACCGAAGATGGAAGAGTGGGATGGAGAGGGAAAGGAGTGGGGTAGAAGGGCTAGGATAAAGGAAAACGGAAGGAGGGAGGAAGAGGAGTGTAGTGAGGGGAGAGGAAAAGTGAAGATGCAAGGGAAGTCACAGCAGCGAGATGCCCATAGAAGGGCAAAGAAATAGAACTAGTGTGCCAGACATAAAATAAAGCAAGCTGAGCAGAGGGGCCACTATCGTGGGTTGTGCTGGATTCTAGGGGTCTTCTTCCCCAGACGCTATGCCTACCAAACTCCCATTTTCTCTGCTGTGTGTAGACAGAGCCTGGTGGCCTAGATCTGGTCCTCCTAGGCTGCAGGGCTGTGCCAGGCAAGCCAGGAGCAGTTCTGAAACCCCCAGTCCAGCCCCTTTTTCGGTTCTCGCCCCTCCCCCTCCTAGCCTTTGTTTCCTGCAAAGGACTCAGAGATCCAGTGGGCCTTCTTGGCCCCAGAACCTGCTCCCCTTTTGCCTGTGTGTTCTGCCCCTACATTCTGCCTCCTCTCTGCAGGATCCTTGCTTCTCTTAGTGACCTGCCCTTTGAAAGGGAGCCCCTCAGAAGAAGAGTGAAAAAGATACCCTACCCACCCCCAGCCCCTCTTTGCCACCCTGCCCCCGCTATGGACTGCTGTGGATTGTCCCCCAGGCTCTGGCTCTGGAATCTGGGTGTCTATATGACTGTCTTTGTGTGTTGGAGGAGTAGCCCATGAGTGCTCTTATCCATTGAATAACTCCCTTCCTGGTGTGGGAATGACCCCCTTGCTAAAGGACCCACATCTCCGAGCTCTGAAAACCCAGGCTTTCCATCATCTTTACATAAACTTAAACTGAGCCTCCATAGTCTCCCCAAAATCTAGTGATTCAATTTGGTGCCCCCTTGGGGATTCTTCTGCAAGAGTCCTGCAGGGTGAAATGTGTTCTCCCCTGTGCCTTGGGCCCAGCCCCACCTGCAGCCCAGTCCTCAGAGACAGCTCCTTCTGATTTCGTGCAACCCGGGTTAGGGTTAGTTTCCCACAAGAGTGGGTAAGCCAGCTACCCTTGTTGCAATGTGTGGGCCTCCAGCTGGCCAGATTTGGAGGTCCACTCCCCCCTCACACACAGAGATCCATATGAGGCTGCACCTTTCCTGGGCTCTTTGGTTCTTGTGAGGTGAAGGGCCTGGGAATCAGGAGTGCAGACAACAAAAGACAGAAGAAAGGAGAGTGGAATGGACAGGGGTCTAGTGGGGAGACAAGAACCCCTAGATTTGGTGGCATACACACCAGTCTGCTTCCTGACTTTTCTGTGGGTACACACATGAGGACTGCGTAGGGGCACATTCAGTAGATCTGCATGTCACCAAGGACACCAGGTAGAACCTGAGCCTGGCACACAAGCCGCCCACTGTTTGCACACCTTGCATGGACATGCAGACACTCACACTGGTGCCCATCCATTGCCTGCCTGAGTCCACAGCCTTTGAGGACCCAGTCAAGCTCCATCTTGACCTGCGATCCATCAGCTAGGCAGAAGGGCAAGCGGATCCCAGACTGGCCTCATGGGTCCTGCAGTTGAGGTGCTGCCAACCCCTGCTGTGGGATTCAAGACACCCACACTTGCAAGCTGGATAGCTAGTGTAGATGTTGTTTTGGGATAGTGTACACTTGCTGCGTTCCTCGGAGCAACATTCCTTCTGCCCCTTTGAGCATAGTTTGGCCACAAAGGGTCTGCCTTTGTGGGCATTTGGGTCAGGGGTCCAGAGCACAGGGGTGTGCCATTGTCACCCACTGGGATCTTTTTTTGGGGGGGCGTTGTTTGCATTTATTTGTTTTCCTTTTGTAAGAATGTTTCTCCGTGCTTGGGCAGTGTTTTGCATCTGCTTCTGAGAGAGAGCAGGGAGGAGTCCTGACAGTGGCGGGGTGGCTCTCTGCTTGTTTTTGGTGTGCACATATCAACGAAGGACAGCTTTCCTTTTTTCCCTGGGCTTCTGGAGGCCTTTTGTGCAGTTTTTCTGGAGGCCGGGGTTGCAGTTGGGAGGGGAGCGGTCAGAGGTCAGCCTGCTTTTTCTGTTTGCATTTTCGTGTTTCTTTCCTTTTCTTTACTCTTCCTTCTCTGTGGTCCCCTGGGTGTGGGTGTGCGGTTCTGTGTGTGAGACCGTTGTGCTACCTCGTGTTTGCAGCACATCTCTGGTCTTGGGGTCCAACTCCCGCCTCCTCAGCCTCTGTCTCCATCTTCCCCACGGTGCTGGATACCTGGCCCGGTGCGTGAAATACTCCCCAGCTTGTGGCTGTTGGGCAACTCCAGGTAGGGGCAGCCTGCCTTAGTCACCGGGTTGGGGGTCAGCCCCTAGAACCAACATTATCCCCCTCTCTCCCTTGCAGCCAGCGACCGGGACTCACCGGAGACGGGCGAGGAGATGGGCCGCGCCGAGGGCGCCTGGCCGCGGGGCCCCGGGCCGGGAGCGGTGCCGCGAGAGGCGGCGGAGCTGGTGGCTCAGGGGCCGGCGGCCTGCGGGGAGGAGGCGGCGGAGCTGATGGAGGCCCCGGCCTCGGCCGCACGGGAGGCGCGCGGTGGCGTGGGCGGCCGCAAGAAGAAGACGCGCACGGTCTTCTCGCGCAGCCAGGTCTTCCAGCTGGAGTCCACCTTCGACCTGAAGCGCTACCTGAGCAGCGCGGAGCGCGCGGGCCTCGCCGCCTCCCTGCAGCTCACCGAGACGCAGGTCAAGATCTGGTTCCAGAACCGCCGCAACAAGTGGAAGCGGCAGCTGGCGGCCGAGCTGGAGGCGGCTAGTCTGTCCCCGCCCGGCGCGCAGCGCCTCGTCCGGGTGCCGGTGCTCTACCACGAAAGTCCCCCGGCCGCGGCAGCCGGGCCCGCCGCCGCGCTGCCCTTCCCGCTGGCGCCTCCCGCGCCCGCGCCACCCCCACCGCTGCTCGGCTTCTCCGGGGCCCTGGCCTACCCGCTGGCCGCCTTCCCCGCCGCCGCCTCCGTGCCCTTTCTGCGGGCACAGATGCCTGGCCTGGTGTGAGCCCAGTCCGGCCCCTCCCTGAGGTCGCAGCTGACCTCCAAGGACGCGCAGTGCGGTGGCGGTGGGTGGGCGCGCGGACGGGCAGATCGCTCCTGCGGCCTCCGCTGTACCTCAGGGGCGCCGCTGTCGGGAGCCCCCCCCCCCAGAATGTACCGGGCAGCCGCCACCGGGGGGCCCCCCAGCCAGCTGCAAGGCCCGATCCCCGCTGGAAGGAAAGGGGCAACGCAAAGACAATGGCGCCGGCGCTGAGCAAACTCGGGCTCCTCCCTCCCGGAGCCCTCAGCAAACGAAAACTTCCCAAATGGGCTGTCCAAGGAGCTGCAAGGTGACTGTCCAGGCACATCTTGCCCCCAAACACAAAATGTCCCTTTCCTGGGACCGCGCAGGGACCCAGACAGCAGACCACTGGGAGGGCTGTGACTAGACCCCCCCCCATCCCCCTGGTGGGTCCGTGGAGAGAGGACCAGGGCTGCTCTGGCCTGATCCATCCTCCCTTCACCCCACAGAGGGCCAGCTAGGGCCTCTTTCCTGGGCTGCCTGGTTCCCCTGGAGAAGACTTTTTTTTTTTTCTTTGATGAATCTACTTCTTTGCATATGGAATAAAAAGGGACGTTTTCTGGATGGTTTCACTGCTGTGTGATCGCTGGTCAGGGATGCTGCTGTTGGCAGACCATGGTGAGCACCCTCCCTCTCAATGCTGGCCAGGGGCAGGGGGATCTACAGACAGAAGTGAGCTTGTGGGGGACTGTGCTCCTAACCCCCCCTTTCCACCAGAGGGAGAGGCCCAGCAGGGACCTCCCTGGAAATTCTGGTGGCCTAGGAGGAGGGAGCTGGGAAGTAGAGATGAGGGTGTACCCCAAAGTGCTGAGACTAGAGTGAACCCCAAAGCCATGAGGCAGGTGAAGGCAGAACCCATTGGCTGTATCCATACTGCCACCCCTGCACCCTTGGCTGTTGCTGAGAGGCAGATCTAACCATATAGAAGTTTCTTTAGGCCGAAACAAAACACTGGCACTTCAGCAAAGTTAGGTGGGCACACTGGCTCCTGCTCTTGTCAGTCTGTGACCTTGCGCGGGTTCTCAGCAAAACTTGTTCTAATGGCCTGGGTCACCTGATCCACCATCAGCCCCAAGCTGGACTGCTTTGATGTTAGATGGGGCTCTCTCTGTGTGGGCAACGATATGCTTTGAGCAGAAGAGAAAAGTGTAATTTCAGTTTGAAAGGGACAGTTCTGTGGCAGACAGAGCCCATCAGAAAAACCTGCCTCCATCCCTGCTTCACTGGGGCAACTCTGGAGCATTCAAGGTGGCACCAGACAGCCTAGGAGAAAGTGCCTCAGTGGTGTTGGGTGTTGGTCTGTTTGTGTATCCCCTTCCTTCCCTCATCCTGGCCAAGAGAACTGGTTCCCAGTGTGGAGGCGCTTGTGCAGTCCTTTTGCACTCCCAGACCCCTGTGGGCCTGATAGGAAAGTCATTTTGAGAGACTTGTGGGGAGGAGACAGTGGTCCTTGGTCCTTGACCAACAGTCCTAGGTCTAACCCAGCCTTTCAGGACTGGGGTCTGTGGTCCCTTCCCGCTTGGGGCCACCCTGAACTGCTTTTCCTGATAAAACCGGATCTCACTGAATTTTGGGAGGGATTGATTATAGCTTCAGTGCATGGAGCTTGTTATTTTATAAGGCCTTGGCCTCTGGTTAGGGGCCCCAAAGGATAGTGGGCAGTTCCTACCATCAGGCACAGGGCAGACCCATCTCTCTTCCCTCTTCTTGCCTCCCTGCTGTGTCCTCCTAAGCCTCACTGCCCCTGGCTTCTGTGGCTTTTGTGCTGGCGTCCAGTTGCTTTACACATTGCTGCTGGTCCTTTGAAGCCCAGGTCACACCCTCCAGTGACTCTGAGCAGGACCAGGGAGGCAACCAAAACCCTCTCTCTGCCTCTTTCCCTGCAGGCCCCAGGGCCCAGCATTGGCAGTGGCAATACAGTTCAGACTGCCAAGGTCTCTGGACTCAGACGTCTTCCTTGGGACCTTTTAGAAGGGATTATTAAGAAAGACGCAGTGTAAAGGGTCTTTCCAATGTGACCACTTTATTGGATTGTTGCCTGCTCGTGCAGGTGGGTACCCAGATGGCTAGGTGACCAAGGGCATCTCTAAGAACGCACAGCCTTGGTCTGCCGGTCACCTCCACAGGCTGATGTGTCTGCACAGGAGCTCCCTAAGAAGCCAAGCTGAAAGACCCAGGGGGAGCCACTTGACGTTGGGGGCCCCCCCGGGACAATGTGCAATGACTAGGGCCCTGCAGGGCGCCATTCTGGAACCTCTCCCCACTCACCAGGAAAGCAGCGAACTGTCAGCCTATGTCTGGCAGGATCTGCGGGGAAGGTGAGCCTGCAGGCTCTTTTTAGTTGTAATTAGTGAGGTTGGGCTGCGGGGCAACTCTGGACCTCCCCAGGGCTCAGGGTTCTGCTGGTGGGATGAAGAGCTGTGCCCTGCACACAGGAGGGTGGAACCTGTGGCCTTCTGAGCCAGTGGCTCCCAAACTGGATCTGGCCCACTAGGCTCAGGGAAGCTCACGCTGTTCCTTCATTATCCACAAGATTCTTGGGGGTCACACCAAAGCAGCACAAATCACAGAGAACTGGTATGTACCATGTAGCCCATGATGTCTTCTAAAGGGCACCGTGCCAATCCCTGGTTGCACCTGGTCCTCTGAGTCCTGAGCTGCAGCGCTATCGATCGCGGGCGCACCTCAGTTGCGTTGGCTCCTCTGCTGGCAGAAGATGAATGGCTTCAATCAGTCTCTACCACATATACCCTACTTCCTTGTGTTTCCACCCACCAGCCTCACGCTCTCTCCCAGTAAGTCCATTGCAGCCACCCTGAGCTGCTTAGCACTTCTGGCTGCATAGCTCTTGAACTCACTTGAGTCCAACAGACTCTGGACACCCAGACACGAGGCCTCCGTGGTGGGCCCAGTCCCAATGGCAAGAGGAGTTCCACTGGCAAGCCCCTTTTCTTCAGGCCTCAGTTTCCCCACCATGTGCCATATTGGACTGGGGTCTGTAACTGCACCCTTCTCAGCATTCACTGATTTGAATGAGCCCACAGGTCTCCCAGGCCAGTGCCACACAGATGCTCCTCTCCAGCTCCCAGGGTCCACACTCTCTGAGCCAGTGTGTCCTCTGCTAGAACTGAATGCCACCCAGCACCAGCCTGAGAAGATGGTGGGAAAGACTGTCCCCTCCCAGGTAGAATCTGTACCTAGGACAACAGGAAAGGCCACTGTCTCGGAGGGGAGGGTGTGCAGTCCCCACCTAAGGGCCTGAGCTCAAGCAGTGGGAAGATTTCTAGCTGGGCTCAGCTTCCAGGAGCCTGGAAGCAGACTCAAGCTGGATTTCCCCAGGTGGTCACCTGCCAGTCCCCAGAGCAGGCAGCACCCAGGGCTTCCTCATTCTTGCCTCATCGATAATTACAGTAAGCACATGGTGGGCTCAGGGGAGATACCCTTTCTTTAACTGGACTCCCCTACCATCTTCGGCCCAGCCCAGTGTTTTCAGGCCCAGGCACCCAGGGCCTCTGCTGTTAGAGGGGTGCCTGTGAACCCCAAAAGCAGGGTAGGGGATGGTTTGGACACTCTCTCCACCCTCACCTGGGAGCTCAGATTTTTCAGGGCCTTGGCTCTGTGCCCACCCAGAACTCTACTGAGTTGAGGCCATGGAGGGCACAGGCCAAGTGAGCCAACCAGAGGGAAGAGGAGGGTCCAAGGGCTTCTCTGTCTCTTTCTGTCCTTGGTGGCCTTCTGATCCCACCTAGCAACTTGTTGAAAAAGTCACCAAGGCTCTGTGGAAGCTTGGATTCTGCCCCTCCCTGGGCTGTACCGTGCACCCTAGAAGTTCTCATTTTCCTGTGGTGTCCTGCTGTCCCTCCTTGCCTGTCCTAATCTTCTGGAGAATTCCCTTTGCCAAACTCCTGCTGCCTTCCAGCTGGGGTCTGGCTGGGAAGTGGGGTTCCCAACTCTCAATCTGCTAGCAAGAGTTATCTCCCAGACCCCTTATTTGCCAGGCCCCCAAGGGTAGGCTCAACAGTCTCCTGGCTGCCCAGGAAGAAAAAGGAGAGGTGGACACCAGCTGCCAGGTGGATGGGAGAGGGGCACACCTGTTCTCACGTGCGAAGCTCTGCATCTCAAACTCTGACAGGCACAGGAACAGAGAGGAAAACGGAGAGCCGCCTGTGGCCTGTGTATCATGAAGGAAAGAGCAGGCCAACTCTGCAGCTGCTGCCTGATTCTGCTTTTTTTCTTTAAAAAAATTTGTAAAAGTAAGAGTGCGTCTTATTAGTAATTATCTGGACAGTGCAGTGAAGTTGAAACAGAAATAAGTTGTCTGCATTTCCACCATCAAAGGCAACTGATTCGGAGTGTTAGAGCAGGCTGTGGACTTACTGGGAGTCATGCTCTGTAGCCAGATTATTTTAAAAAGTTTAAAATGCATTTATGTATTTACCTATGAAATGTGATTTCTGTTTGCTCTAAAATAAGGCAACAAAAATAAATAGCAAAATGTAAAGGAAGGCGAACAGAAGAAACTAGGTCAGTCAGGAGTTAAAAACTGCTGAATCGCAGGGCAGAAGGGGTTCATTTCAGTGTGCCCCCCTACTTGGTTTATATTGGAAAACCTCCATAATAAAAATGTTTTAAAGAGCGGGTGATTCTCTCCGCCTGAAAGGGGGAAGGGCTGGTTTTGTTCCAGGTTTATTTTCACTCAATCGCCGTCTCACCTGGATCCAGTTGAATGCCGGCTTTTTTTTTTTTTTCTTGCTTAGGGGGAATGTGCGCATAAAACCCATTAGTTTGGTGTCGTAGGGCTGTAAAACCTATTAATTTGGTGCCTACAATTTGGTATCAGTCTCAAACCTTCCTCCTTTTCCACGCAGCTTTTTTGGCCTTCAGGGTGCCTCTGGATTCCCCGCTCTGGGAGCTCCGAGGAGATCTACTTTGTTGGACGAGGG